TAMKTYTMAWTKTWWRKGTKKGGWTKKKTKTTTTKTKTTKKGTTTTKKGTTKTTKKTKKTTTTTTTTGTTTAAAATCCATTTGTATTGGTTTCAGTATCACAAGCTTTTTGATATCAACACTGAATAGATTTTGCTCTCAGAAGAGCAAAAGCATATCAGAAAAATGTATTATTTACTTGCTAGAAAAGAACTTTTAATTAGTGTTATATCAATACATATACAATAAATATTTAAATAACATCAATACAATACACTTAGATGAAATGCTATAAATATCACAAAACCTCAGAGACTAGAAGCAGACTTGATATATATTATTAATAGACTAAGATTACTCAGCCAAATTGCATTATTAGGTGTCTGCTCTAGGTACTGTAGCTCTTTTTCCATGAGTAAGGAAGCTTCTCATAAAAATCCTAGAATTTTGAAAATCATCTACTGCATGAGCCAGAAATCATTTCTGGCTTAACTCCAAGGACTGCAGGGAAGTTGAGTAATTTTTAAATGATGAGATCAAATCCAGTTCTGCTRCACATTTAAAATGGTCTGTTAAGTACATCCAGAAATTTTATGCCACCTGATGGAGCAGTCTTCATGTCACACATGGGAAGATATAATTAAAGGACACAAAGGCAACAAATATTAAAGAGGCAACAAAGTTCAGTGTTTTAAATTTATTTAATGTAAAATGAATACGTGTTATATAACTGTAATTAGTTGTTTTAAACTAACATAAAATAATTCTTCAAAACAAACATATTCTGGAATCTTACTATCATATAATAAACTATAGCAAATTTAGATTAATACATTATTTTCACGTATTTTTCTTCACTGGTTCTTGTCTAGCACACAGCATTGGACTTGTTTAGCATGAAAAAGGTACTGTGTCTTACTTCAGAAACACTGGTGCTGTAATTCAGGTAAATATCATATCATCCAAATTAATCTCTTCCACGACCAAACCAAAGTGCTTACAAAGTACTGCTGTTGGAAGCACTGATCTGGGTTTAGGTTGGAGTCCAGACCTTATGTCAGAGCCAGAACAGTGATCCATCTAAAGACAAACCCAGGAAGCATTTCAGTGCTTTTCTGATGCTACTATTCTCAGGAAAAAGAGCTACAGTTCAGAAATCAAGTGCTCAGCAGGAAAATTGTGCTGCAGAAAATATACAGACCAAGCGGATGAGTACAGCTCACATTAGCACAACCTCTAAAAATGACAATGCCCAGCAGGATTTGAAAATCCCAGAGACCTCTGCTTCAGCTGTCCACTGAATCACCTGTCCAAAATGGACATTCCCTATWAACACCTGTAATTTTGTAACTGAAGTCTTACATTCTTCAGGAGAGCAAACAGCTCTTGAATTATTTGTTTTATTCTACTGTAACTGGGGCATTTTGTAAAACATGTTTTTCTTGAATACTTGAAGTTTTTTACCTGCAACATGCAACTTCTTTAAAGATTTAGGAATTTCTTAAAAAGCCCTTCAGTGCTTTAATCTTACAGAAGCTTTTTATCAAAGACAACATAGGACTGTTACACTACCTACATGGTTCATCTTTTTTTAAAAGCTCTTCCGCTATTCTGAGAATCTTTTGGTTAAAGATTCTAAATATATTTTAAAATCTATGCTTCTGACACTTTGACTCTTTTGGTCAAGAAGGTTATGTTAAATATAGAGGTTTTTCTAGCCACGAACTCCAAACATAAATACAGGCCCAGAACAGACTGGGTTTTTTGAGATTAAAGGATTTTGACTCAAACCTCCTAAAATCATTTGGCACTTCCCCTTATCTTTATTTTAGCAGTCAGTCCTGCAGGATGGCAGGGCACAGCACAGGCCAGCTCTGTCCTCAGGAGCAGCAGGACTCATGCAAGAGCCCAGAGGGCAGAGCAGGGCTCCCCAGCAGAGCCCACCAGACTACACCTGAGCAGGGAGAAGAGAGGAGGTCTCAGAAGCAGCACTGCAGAGAGGCAGCCCCGAGGCTGGGCTGAAAACACACCTCAGGCTCCAGCCCAGCAACAGCAACTACAGCCAGGCGCACCTACAACAAAAAGAGAGCACTGAGATCAAGCTAAGAAACCAGCCTGCAGGTTAGGGCCCTTAACACGGCACAGACAAGACAACACAATACAGATACAGCAGACAAAGACTCCTAAAACAAGGTTTAAATGAGAACTGTAGGTGCATGGCTGAGCTTAAATAGGTCCCTGAGCAGGGGGTGAGTAAGGATCCAGGTGAGGCTGGTCAAGGCTGTTGTTGACACACTTACACCCTTAGTATATAAACTCTTTCAATGGCCTAAGGAGCTTTGATATATAGTGAAGCTGTTTGCATGGGGTAATTCTTATATGCATATAAGTATGTATATCTATATATATATCTTTTGTAATTTATGAAGCTAACTGATCAATTTCTTTGACTGAATGAAGTAATTTAATTTTTCTTTACAATACTGGTTAATAACTGCACCAATTTTATTTGTTAGACTATCACAGACAACTTATCTGGCCTGSAACTGTATTTTTCTTTCTCCATCTTAATGTAATAGACCTCCCAGCTAAACAGGGTAATCTCTTTTATCAACTATTTGAAAAAAAAAAAAACCTCTATAGCTGGGTCTTTTACTTGAAAAGAAAGGAAGCTCTTGCTATAACTTGATACCAATCAAGAACTAATTTAGTCCCTTTAGGTGCTGAAAGCTTTTCACCTTGGATTTCTTTGAATATGGAGCTGATGAGTGTGGTACTCAGACAATGGCCTTACATGATATATTGTAGGCTATTGTGGTCTGTTAAACACAAAACTTTTAGGATTRCTTTAGGGAATACCAAAGAAATGGTCTCAAAGAAGAAGCTATAGGTTAAGGCCAATGCCTAGATTTCCACTCTAAGATGTCTTTTTATTAATTTTACTCCAGTAAAAAAACTTCTTCTCGAGCCAGTTATTTCTTGACATTTAGGAGTTGGGGAATTCTTTATTTGAAATACTGACAAAGAAATATTAGAAAACTGACAATGGAGACAGAACTACTCTTGTAGGGTAATTGTTTTTTTTTAAAAAAACTGGAAAACTGTACATAAATTCTTTTTATGCATGTTGTAGGACAGAAAAAAATCAAGAGCATTTCTTTTCAAGAAACTCAATTTTTATGCCTTTTTKTGGTGATCTTTACTACTATTGTTTTTTTTCCTGGGATTATGCTACAGGACAGTTGTAGACATTCTGATATACTTTGATGCATATCATTTGTGGTATCTGTATTAATCAGGTACGTCTACTACGAAAAATACATTTCTATGTGTTTACACTGAACGAGGGGCAGCACTCCTTTCACAAGCTGCAACAAGATTACAGGGGCTCAGCATCACACTGCATGCGTAATCTTACAAGTTCTTTTTCTTACCATGTGATTAAGCGCCTTGGTTGTGGGAAGACATACTGTGTGTTTCTTACGCAACGCTGTAAAGAGGAAACCGATCTGCTGATGGAGGCTGTCTAGAGCTTGCTTTATGTTAAATATCCTGAGGTGGTTTTTTAAGACAAGGCTGTTCTCTAGAGAGCAATGCTGATGTTGAACTACATACTACACAAAAGCGTCGCCTGTGTGTTGCTGTAATCATCTATGCCACAGGACTGTTCTTAAATGTAAACACAGATGTATACATCCTCTTTCTCCGCAAGACTGTGCGCAACTGTTGCTTGTAGCGGAAGCGAAGCTGGTTGTAATTTACAGGTTGAACACTGTACAAGACCCCGATAAAGTTTAAATTACAGTAGAAGGAACCTAAATTCGGAGTTGAAATGTCGACCCCTAAACGATGCTTTGTTTTGTTAGTGTTGTCTCAATGAAGAGMTGTGAGCAGCACCGCGGGTTTCCGCTGGTGGGACGCGCCCCCGCTCCAGCGGGGTCCCTGGGAGGAGGGGGAGCTGCCGGCCACGTCACTGCTCCGGACACCACACCGAGGTCCCGTTCTTGAACAGCCTTACCCCGGCGCGGGCCAACTTCTCCGRGAAACCGCACGCCGGCGTTGGAGCGTTTGTCGCCGCGCTCGCCAATGGCTCCGGCCCCCGCKGGCGGCAGCGGGCGGAGCGGAGGCGGGCGGGTTTGAAAGGGAGGCGCCGGCTGCCATGTAAGCGCTGGCCGGGAGCGCCGCGGCCGGCAGGGGCTGAGCTGGGAGCGGCCGCCGCTCCGGCCCTCCCGCGGTGCCGCCCTCGCCCCGGGCATGGGAGCGGAGCRGACCGGGGTGGCCGGAGCGGAGCGGAGCTGCCGTGGGGGTGGCCCCCGGCGAGCCCCTGGCCCATGGCCTTCATCATGATGAGGAAGAAGAAGTTCAAGTTCCGCGTGGAGCTGGAGCTGGACGAGCTCTCCTCCGTGCCCTTCGTCAACGGCATCCTGTTCTGCAAGGTGCGGCTGCTGGACGGCGGCAGCTTCAGCGGGGAGTCCTCCCGGTAGGTGCCTGCGGGACCCGCCAGCCGGGATCGGGCCGCGGCCGCCCCCGTCCGACGGGCTCCGCTCGACACCGCGTTCCCCCGGGAGCAGCAGCGACCCGGCCGCCTCCGCAGCCCCTCCGCCCGCTCCYCGGCGAGCCCGGGCTCAGCCGGTTCCCGCTGGCGGGCGGGGGCCCGGGGAAGGGAGAGGGCGGCTGGCCCGGGGCTCCTGGCGGCTGCAGCCGTGCTGCTCGCCTTTCCCCTCGCCGAAGGGGAAGCTCCCGTGGCACCGGCCGGGCTGGCCGTGTTCTCGTCCCGCCTGCTTTGCCAGCATCGACGGTGAGAGAACACATGTGGGAGCGCTTGTGTTCTCGCCTGCGTGGCTGCTCGTTGCGTGGAGTCGTAATGTTGTAAAATAAATACTGAGGCTCCTGAACACGGAGTAACAGGGGAGATGAATCCCTGTGTGATGAAGGTTGTCCCAGAGAAACGGATGGCTTGTGCCGTAATGCTTGGAGCTGCAGTTAAGGGCTGGGTAACAGGCAGGGGGGAATTTCTTGTCCCCAGGCCTGTAGTTTGAGCTGTCCACTGTGAGCTGTGCGACCTTAGTGTTTAGTTACTGGACTCTGGCTTGCTGTGCTTCGTTTTGCGGATATTTACATGGAGAGCTAAGTTCCATGGAAAAGCCCTCAATTTTTCCTGTGTGTTCAGGTCATGAGTTACTGACTTTGTTCTTGCTCAATTCTGCAAGTGCAGCAAGGCCAGTGTCTTTTTTTCCTCTTTCTTTTCCTTCAGTTGTGTCTGAGCAATAGAACCATCATCTGTCGTGACAGTGGCTCCACAACCCACTGGCAGCCTCAACAGGTTAGATAGTGTCACTGTTAATTTTTTCCAAGTACCAGGCAGAGGCAGAACCTTGTCARTAGGAAGGGTACACTGTGGCTGTAGGTTTGGGGAGAAGGAGGCTTCCCTTACATTACACTTGTTCTTGTATGAGTTATTACCTTAATATTATTACGAAAAGGATTTATTTGAAAATGTCTCACAGAATTCTGGGAGCAGACAGTAACAAATCTATGAATATTCAGTTATTTTCCTATTAAAATCCTACTGTTACAGAGCTTTCTAAATTATTTGCTTTTGATTCTGTAAATTAAATTTATCAAGGAGGATAAAGAGAATAAAAATGGAACTTTAGCCTAGAACCTCCTTATTTTACCATTCCATTATATTAGCATGTATAATTGAAGATAAATTTTTCTTCTGTATGGTTGGAAGTTGTTCAACTTGTCAGTATTCTGTTCTTATTTTGTGTTTTTCTTCAACGTTTTTCTTGTGAGCGAAATCATAAGTAATAGATGATGATGATGCCTATCATGTTCAGCCACTAATGTGCCATTACTGTCCTACTCCAGCCCTTACTGGCTTGAAGTCATTTTCACAGGCTGACATACATCTTCTGGACATCATTTTCAAGGACTTGTTTTCAGCTGAGCAGATGGCTTTGACCYATTATGGTGATCTTAGTCTTTTTAGCCTTGTCTGTTTATGATGCTGAAATTAAATGCTTGAAAGGCTACATTCATGTCTTTATGAATGGTCTATTAGAGTAAAATGTGTGTGGTATGACATAGTACGTGTAGGGAAACTGATGTAAAAAATCATGTTCAAGTTTAGAAATTCTTCCATTTTTATTTTCTGGGGGTATGGCTTTGAAAAAAAAAAAGAGCAGCAATGGAACATACACTGGCATATCAAGGTCCCTGTGAGAGTAACTCATTCCTGCTGGACTGAGAAGTGTTGAGGTATGCTGGTAGGAAGGTGAAAAGAATTCTTCTGCAGTGATCCTTCAGTGCCAATTTAGGGAGTGCCTTTGCTCTTGGCTTAAGAATTAACAGATGAATTTTCAGAGTAGTGATTCAGCAAAGGGCTGAATAAATAAGGAAGAAATTAAGTTAACATCAGAGTGGCAGTATTTCAAAACTTGTGAGTTGCAAACTTCTTCTGATGGTCGTCATCCTCTAGTAGCATGCATTTATTAGTTTTTCTGTGAGCTGGCCGTTATATCCCTAAGGCAGTGATCTTTTTAGCTTAATTAAAGACATTCAAAGAATTCTGTTGTTTCAGAAAGTAATAGACAAACTCATTCCAAACATTCTATAATACAGGTGAAAACTAACACTGTTTTCTTAATAGCTTTGTTATTACCTGAGGTGTAGCAAACTATAATTATTTTGGGAGAAGTTATGAAGTTCTTAAGTTGATACCCATACAGACCAATAACCTGCTGCTTCTTGCCTCAGAAAGTAAAAAAAAACCAAAAAAAAACAAACAGTCCTATCAATAGTCTGTAAACCGCTCTAACATTATTAGCATTTTATTTCCAATGCTTACTCACAGAGAAAAATGTCATAAAACCCAGGGCAGCAGTTGCCTTGGAACAGGGGCCCATATGTATATAGCAAGCTGTCATGAGAACAGTTTCAAGTGATTTTCTTGTCAGCCCTCTATGGATCACGCTGTATGAATGATTAAAGTCCAGTCCTGCAAGCAATGTGGTACCTTCATCATCCCGCTGATCATTGAAGTGAGATGAAAAGAAGACAGATAAAAGGTCAAACTACTGAAAAAATAGGGGTTTTTTTGCTTCTCAGATCTTTGCTGAGAAAGAGCTACCTAAGAAATATGTTATAGAGATATGGACCATGTTATTGGAGACATTATTTGACTCTAAAACCGGGGAGAACCTTGAAGGGCGTAGCAGAAGGGGGGAGGTTCAGTTTGGTAGTTTCAGCAAACTGACACTCAGCCATACAGTGTCATTCCTGCCCTCCCCTTTTGGAAATTGCTTTCTAGCATGTTTTCTTGATCTTTATCCGTATTTTAGATGTTAGAATAAAGGGTTTTCATTTCATTTGCATCTTCAGCCAATAGGCTGTGGATGTATGCAAAGTTATATTAACAAACCTCATTTTCATTTAGAAAACTTTTCTAGCTAAAGTCTGGTTTCCTGTATGCAAAGGCACYTTCTACTTTTCCCTGGGCCTGACAATAGATCTCTCTCTTTGAACTTGGATACATTAATACACAACACTTGTGCAGATTCCAGGATACCATGTGTCTATATATTGCCTGGTCGTAAAATATTTAGCATGTAATGGCTTATGTACCATGAAAGGACAGCAGATTAGTTCAGGGCAGAAACTACACCTATGACTATTTTGAACAGAAGAAGTGTTATTTTAAGGTACAGACTTGACTAAATACKAGGCATATTTATTTGTGGCCCTTCTGATGTAGATATAAATATATAGTAATTACAGGCTTTCTGCAACTGCCCTCATTTTAACAGGCTGAATCAAAAATTGATAGGTCCCTAGAGCATATCACTGAGGCTCACAGGCTGAGCTGTTGCTCGATCAGCAGCAAATGAACAGATGGGATATGAGGAAATCCGAGGAATTTTGGAAGTAAAGGATCTTATTTCTTTCAATGCTATACCATATTGACTGAGGCTACAGTAGCTGTAAGCCTGGTAGTTCCATTTTTAGCTTGGTTTCCAGCTGCACCCTCTCAAGGAAAGGATTTGGTTGGTGTGTTCTGACTGCAGTCTTCAGTTTGGTCATATTCCCCTTTGTTTCACATCTGATTTCTGACAATGCAGACTGCTGATGTTTCTATCTTTCTTTTACACAACAACAATTCTAAACTAAGAAGCTATGATTGCTSTCTGTGCCAGAGATTCAAAGTAGGTAAAAGCTGTAAGTTTTTCAACAAAACATTTCATTTTCCAACAGATTCCAGAGTTGTGGGGTTTTTTATGTACGCTTTTGAGTTCTGAGAGGAAGTCTTGGTGATCTTGCATGAATATATTCTTATTCCTACTGGTGCAGGCTAGAGCATGTAATTATTTTCTGTAGAAAATTACTTATCTTCCAGTGAATAAGTACTTCTTATTTAAAGTGATATATGGCCACCTCCTTCTCAACTGTCTAAAACTTGTTTCTTGTGRCACCAGCAAGTAGGTTTTCTACCTCACTGGATTCTTCAAGATGCCTTTTTACCATTCTTTTCCTGATTGCTACTCATTTGAAAGAGAAAAAGTCTCCTGATAGTAACACAGCTTAACTAGCTCTGTTTTTAAATAACAGTGCTTGTTAGAAAAACATACCTGTCACATGGAATCATTGTTCCTATCACTCTAACCTTCCTGCCTGGTGTATGAATCCTGCTGACAGTCTTTAGAGCTGGATAATGCTACTTCTGATAGCTTTTTCAGCTGTAACTGGATTTGCAGTTGAGATTTGCAGTTTGAAACAAAATACGTTTTCAASAGGAGTATTGGTGGTGGAATAAAAATCCTACCTTGCCATTTTGTAGCTAGTTTTCTCAGATTGTCGAGTGGCCCCTTAATGTTTCCTCAGTTGTAAACAGGTACTTGGTTAAGCAACTTTCAGACCATGTCCTGTGTAGGAAGGAAAAGGTAAGAAGTTCTCTAATMTTTTTTTCAAAGTGTAGTTTCTTTCTATTTCTCCTTGCATTTATTGTTACAATAAAATGTGTTTAGTCAATGGWTTTAAAGAATATGCTTGAGAAAAACCAAAGAATTAMTCAGAGGAGTAAAGAATRTAAAATTAGATCTGAAGAGGCTCATCTTTGGGCTACAGTAGGAGAAAATAAAATGTTTGTACAGTCTGCTCTTTGCATGGGGTGTAACTGGTTATTGCAGATATGAAAAGGGTTCAGTCTTRTGAGACTTCTGTTACTGTAATTGTAAGTACTGATAAGAGATATATCAACAGCTAACTTGCCACAAAGGAGTTTCCGAGAASAGATCTGTTAAAGAGGGAGAGGTGGTGAGAGAAGCTTTTGTTCTTAAGGTGCCTGGCTTGTGCAGAACTGGCACTTTGGTTTAAAACAGCTGGTGATGGTTTGTTGGGTTGTTTTTTTCTCCTGACCTCAGTACAGTACATGGATTTTTCTGCCATAAACTKGCCATTTGCAAGCACCACAGCATGATT